CTTGGGTGGGCAACGACGGTGTGTCCTCAAAGCAGTAAGACAACCTTCCCAAAGAGGAAAGGCCTTGTAGGCATTATGAAATATTTTGTAACAAAACAGGAAATTTGGATTGTTTCTCTTAATTTTTTTTTTCCTGACATTTTTGAGAGTTTGAGGTATTTGTAAAGTCTTCTCTTGTTTCCAGACACTCACCAGTCTGGGAAGAAAGGCATCACGTGTTAGGTGCAGTGAGAACAGCACCGGAATGGGGGTCCTGCTGCCTTTTGTGCCCCCTTTCTGCCCCACGTGGGCCTGAGTTTGGTGGGGCAGGGTAAGGACAAGAGACCTTGACACCTCCTGGGTCTGTCTAAGCTCCATGCTCTTTGCTAAGGGGCAGGGTGGTCCCTTCACCTGGTGGTCCCTTCTTCCCCCTCTTCCTGGTAAGGATTTCCCATGGTTTCATGTTTTCTCAAAGGCCAGCTTGATACGTGGCGTGACCAATCACAGGCTAGGTGTCCCAGCTCCAGGGATGATCTGCTTTGCAGCTGTAACCAAACTCTCGGCCCTCCTTTTTCTTTTCAGTTTTAAAAAGCTTGGAAAAAAAGCTTAGTTGCATCTCCTACCCACTTTTTTGGTAGCAGTCGTATTTTATTTTGATAATTCTTAAAAGCTTTTTGTATGTATCTCAGTGGTTTGTCATGTTGTGCAAATATTTCCCTCTAACTTAATTATTTGCTTTTTCATTTTATTTGCCACATCTTTTTATATACAGAAGTTAAATAACCTTGCATATTTAAACTTATCAGTCTTATCCTTTGTTATTTTTTTTCTTCATGATTTCTCTGTGTTGAAAGGAACCTCCCTCATCTTAAGGGAAACTTCTTTTTTTCTTTTTATTATGTTATGTTAATCACCATACATTACATCATTAGTTCTTGATGTAGTGTTCCATGAGTCATTGTTTGTGCATAACACCCAGTGCTCCATGCAGTACGTGCCCTCTTTAATACCCATCACCAGGCTAACCCATCCCCCTACCCCCTCCCCTCTAGAACCCTCAGTTTGTTTTTCAGAGTCCATCGTCTCTTATGGTTCGTCGCCCCCTCCGATTTCCCCCCCTTCATTCTTCCCCTCCTGCTGTCTTCTTCTTTTTTTAACCATATAATGTATTATTTGCTTCAGAGGTATAGATCTGTGACTCAACAGTCTTGCACACTTCACAGCGCTCACCATAGCACATACCCTCCCCAATGTCTATCACCCAGCCACCCCATCCCTCCCACCCCCCACCACTCCAGTAACCCTCCGTTTGTTTCCTGAGATTAAGAATTCCTCATATCAGTGAGGTCATATGATACATGTCTTTCTCTGATTGACTTATTTCGCTCAGCGTAATACCCTCCAGTTCCATCCACGTCGTTACAAATGGCAAGATCTCATTCCTTTTGATGGCTGCATAATATTCCATGGTGTATATATACCACCTCTTCTTTATCCATTCATCTGTCGATGGACATCTTGGCTCTTTCCACAGTTTGGCTGTTGTGGACATTGCTGCTATAAACATTGGGGTGCACGTACCCCTTCGGATCCCTACATTTGTATCTTTGGGGTAAATACCTAGTAGTGCAATTGCTGGATCGTGTGGTACTTCTATTTTCAACTTTTAGAAGAACCTCCATACTGTTTTCCAGAGTGGCTGCATCAGCTTGCATTCCCCACCAACAGTGTAGGAGGGTAGGGGAAACTTTTGTATTTTTTTTTCAAGTTTTACTTTTGTAGTTTATAACATCTATTAAAATTAATATTCTTGAAATTTATTTTGGTATGGGGTATGTGGTAGGGATCTTTTTATTTTTTTAAACAATTTTCAATTGACTCAATTCAGTTTCTTTATAGAGAAATCAGTTCTTTTCATTTTATTTTGGAATGCCAGTCTCTCAAGATGCTGGGCATGTTCTGAGAGTTTAGTCTGTTCAGTAATATCTGTTCTAGTACATTGTTTTATTAGGTGTTATTTTTATAACTAATTTGATTATGCACACATATGTTATTCCTTTTTTATTTTTTATGGACATCTCTTAGTTTTCTCATTTAGTTATTATTCCTTTGGATAAACTTTGAGACTCTTTGGTCAAGTCAAAAAAAATATCTTCCCCTCCACCAAAGGGAGGACACCATCTCCCACCCCAGGGATGCCCTTGAGAGCTGTGTGACATCACATGTGCCTCGAGTTCCTCAGGGAAAAACGCTGGTACTGGGGGCTTGGTTGCCTTGCTGAGGCTGTCAGCCTCTAATCATAGAATTAGCTCTTTATTTAGAAGCAAACATTGCTTTGAAACCTGCCTGGAACGACTTGGGTTTTAGTGGATCTGTTGTATCGGTAATGATTCAACAGCTTGTCCCACAGAGAAGCTGTGTGGGGTAGGCAGAGCTACGGAGGCCTGAGTTTTGAGTCTTGCTTGCCACTGCCTCATAGGGTGGCCTTGGTCAGGTCACTTTTCTGAACCTCAGTTTCCTTATCAGTAAAACAGGGATCAGTATGGCCCTGTGCCTGACAATGGGCTGGAGGATCAAATGACAGAAGGTGCCCTCCCGCTCACCTGGGCTCCACCTGCCCTTCTGGCTGTTCCTTCTTGGTCTCCTTTTCTGGGGCTGCCTTAACTGTGACCTCCCGCTCTTGGAAGTCCACACACTTCTATGCTTGTTCCCTGGGGCATCTCCCTAGTCTCCCCAGGCTTACACACTAGTTATGTGGAAGGCTTCCTGGTTTCTTTCTCCAGCCCTGGCCTCTCCCCCAGGCTCCACCAGCCCTGCGGGTACAACTGCCCGCTCAGCATCTGCTCCTGCACGTCTAGAAGGCACCTCAGGCTTAGCCTGGGCAACACTCAGCAGCTCATCTGTCCCAGACCTGCGCCTCCTGCAGGCCAAGGGTCACCAAACTCGGGGAAAAACATAGTAAATATTTGAGATTTTGAGTGCCACATATGGTTCCTGCCATATCGTCTTTTTTTAATTTGTTTTGTTTTCTTCTCACAAACCTTGAAAAATGTAAAAGCCATTCTGAACTCCCAGCTGTTACAGAACCAGACTGGATTTGGCCCGGGGGCCCACAGTTGGCTGACCCCTCCTGTACCCGAGTCTGTCAGTGGCCGCTCCTTGGCAGTCGCTTGGGTCAGAAACCTCAGGTCATTCTTGACTGTTCACACCCTGCCCAAGCCCGTTAGCACCTTCTGTGTGTTCTCCCGTAGTTTTCCCTCCCCAGCACCCTGGAGGGGTGGCGTTTGTCCACACCGCTGGACAAATCCTTGCCCCCCCCCCGTCAGCTCCCAGACAGCGGCCAGAGCGACGGCCCGGCTGAGCCTCCCTCTCACGCCTGTCTCCACCCTCCCCTCTGCTCTCCCCTGACGGTCCCCTCTCCGGACGCATCCCTCTCATTCGTGTTCTCACGTCTGCCGGGTCCATGCCCTTCTCTGACCCTAATGTGCATTTTAATTTCCTTGTTCGTGACTTTCCACTTGACTGTAAACTCCTCAAGCACGGACTCTTGACCTACTACATTTGCTTTGTCTTGTATCCCTGGCACCTAAAACAATGCCTGGCTTACAGTAGGTGCTCAATAAATGTTCGTTGGTTGAATGAGTGAAAAAAATGTAAAGTGTCTTGCAGACAGCAGTTGGAATGTAGAAGCACTCAAAAAGTGCCAATTACTTTCCCCGTCTCATCTCTCACAGTTGTATTACATTCAATGCTTGTGAATTGGATGTTTTAAAATACGGCAGAGGAACTTTTAAATGAATCGTCTTGCTCTCAATTAAGTAAAAAGGAACTGAGTACTCACTCCCTTTTACCTGCTTGCGAATCCATTTTTTTTCACATTCATGGGCTTCCTTGAAGTGATGTGTCCCTGTTTATTCATGCTTGTTTCCCAGAGGGGCTCATTACTTTGCCTCAGAAGGGAGAGGTCAGGATGGGTGGAGGTTTCAGTTAAAAAGGCTTGCCAGTCAGTATGTACAAAGAGAGACATTGACCTGTAAAGGGCCTGATTAAACCCTTTCCATGTGTGCCAGCAGTATGAAAGAATTTCATGCAAAAGTCATGCTGTAGCACATTTCCCCCTTTTCGATTTTAAAGAGGGCCTCCGCATGTGTGGTGTAGAGGCTTTCCCAGGATTCCGCCGCCCCCAGCACATGGGGCAGGTGAAATGGTGCAGTGCCTTTCTGTTATGTAATCCGATGAGAATCCCCTAGTCATGAAATAAAACGCTCTTCGAAGCTCGGTGCTAATTCCTTTGGGTCCCCCTCTGCCCCATCCAACCTGCCCTCATATACTTGAGTTAAGAAGTTTTCTGGGAAAATTTAAAAGAGGAATTCTCTCCGAGCTTTAAGCACTCTTGTGTGCATGATAATTAGACAAGTGGAGAGTCGAGTGTGGAACTTAGGTCTGAGTGGAGGAAGTACCATTTTTCCCCACACTCCTTCAATTTGTGGTAAGAGATCCCATGGCTACACATGGAAGTATTCTAGATGTAAGTGTGAAGTTATTTTTCTCCTCCTTCCTCTACAAGCAGAGTCCTTGTAGGATAAAGTAGCCCCTTTATTTCTAAAAACATGTACTCTAGAACCAGGAAGCTGAACAATGGAAAACGGTATCCAAGCCATCAGCCGGTTGATCCTTCCAAGTTCGTGTACTAGGCTCCAGTGAGCCTGGCCTCTGCACAGCACCCTTACCCTCTCACCCTTTGTCCAGCTCACCCTGGGGTCAAAGTGAAGGGACGGGGGTGGGCATGGACACGGTGGGTTTCTGTGGCTTACCTTTACCAGCAGGTGTCTGGGTGATGGGCAGCAGAGGGCGGGCTGATGTCCGTGTCACTTCATGGGCGCACCCTGTCTGGGTCCACCTGAAACTCTTCTTCTCAGGTTTTTATAAACCATAAAAATAACAGCCCATGGGATAAAATGAACCATACAGCTTCCTGAACAGTTAGCTTAGACTGCTGTATAGATCTGACTGTTGAAGAAAGTTGGTGACCTAAAACCCCACCAGGGTAGAGGGGTCTCAGCAGCAGGTTGCAGATGCCTGGCCCAGCGTCTGTAACCTCAATCCAGTTGGGGTGCACGCCCTTTCCTGTTCTTTTCTCTGGCTTTTGGCCCCCGTCTGTTTCTTCCCCATGCCTGATGCATTCCTCCTTGTATCAAAACTGGTGTGCTCATTACAGAGAACCATCAGTCTCTTAAGTCTGCCGTTGCCTGAAGTTCAGCCCTTAAGGCACAGAGGCTTCTTCAACTTTATTTTTACTGCCGTAGCTATTTCTGTCCTGATTTGCCATTGTACACATCCCCGCAGATGTGAGAGCTGTGGTGATGGGCTCCGCCAACCACCGGCTGCAACACGTGTTACGCTTCCTTCGGGGAGCTTTTCTTACCTTCGGCAGCACACCCTGGTGTGTCCGGCCATGTGGAGAGGCAGCAGGGCAGACCCCCAGATTGGAACTACTTCCTGCCTGTGTGACCTTGAACCCGTGCTTCATCCTCCCCGTTCGTTTCCCATGGCCGCTGTAACAAAGGACCACACGTTTACTGGCTTAAATCAACACAGATTTATGATGTGACAGCTCTAAAGCTCAGAGATCCAAAAGCAGGTTGTCAGCACGACTGCATTCCTCCTGGAGGCTCTAGGGGAGAATCTGTTTCTAGCCTTTCTAGCTTCTAGAGTCTGCCCGTATCCTTTGGCTCATGAGCCCCTGCCTCCATGTTCAAAGGCAGCAGCGAGGCCCTCCTGACCTGGCTGTGCCTCTGCTTCCATGATCATGTCTCCTCCATGACCCTGACCCTCCTGTCTGTCTCCATAAGGACTCTTATGATTTCACTGAGCCCACCTGGATGATAGAGGATAATCCATCTCAAGATCCTTAACCTGGTCACATCTGCAAAATCCCTTTTGCCATGGAAGGTAATAGGCTCTGGGGATTGGGGCTTGGATATCTCTCAGGGGAGGGCATTACCCACCACAGTGGGGTTGTGGGAAGATTACTTGGGTTCATATTAAGTGAGAGGTGCCTGTTCCCTCTGTGGTCAGTGTTCTCATATTCTCAGCAACTGTGGACATAGCGTAAGGATGGATCTGCGCCGTCTGTCATTTAGGAAAGGTCCCATTTCTCTCCTCTCCGATATTCTCTCATTAGGAAGACACAGTGCAAGAGTTAATATTTAAAGAATATCAGTGTTGAAAAGGTAAAGTCAGTGTTCTGATAAATTTACTTATGCAAAATATCACCTTTTGCGGTTAAGACTGGATCAACAGTCATAATAAGATATTTTCACCTTAATGCCTCTAGGTATTAGTACTAGTAATAGTTCTGATTTATGCAAATTTCTTTAAGTATTTTAGTGCTTCTTCGAGTTTGAGGTACATAGGAAATTTGATTTGGCAGAAGTGATTTAATTTAACAGGTTTTCAAACAAGGTGCCTTGAGTCAGAAGGAATGGTCCCTCGCTGTCTTTCTTTGTGTGCTGATGGACTCCAGATGCCAGAAGACAAAGGGCATGGTTTTATTTCACAGGAGGGTTTGAGATTTTTCTACCATTCCACCTCTCCCTAGTTTTATATAGAACTCTATTTAAAGTAAGCAGCTGGAACCTTCCTCAGGGAAGCTCATCAAGCAGATGAGGGTGTAGTGAGACACAAAGGAAGCTGACAGGTGCTGTGCGTTTTCTTTTTTTTTTTAAGTATGTTTTTTTAGTTTTATTGAGATGTAATTGACATAACATTGTATTAGTTGAAGGTGTCCAACATAGTGATTTGGTAGAGTGTATATATTGTGAAATGATCAACACAGTAAGGTTAGTTAACCTCCATCACATCACATTTTGGTTATGATTAAGTGTTTTTTTAATTTTATTGAATATATTTGACATATGACATTGAATAAATTTAAGGTGTACGGTATATTGGTTTGCTACGTATTTATATTATGATATATTGCCATTGTAACAATATTTATCACATTGCATTATAGTACAATATTGTTGTCTGTATTCATTTTATTGTGCATTAGCTCACTGTGACTTATTGACTACTCTTTGTAAGTTTGAGCCCTTCAGCAACATCAGTTTTTATCCCCCCCACCTCCTGGTAACCCCCGTTTTACTCTGTTTTTGTCAAGTTTGACATTTTTCGATTCCACAGAGAAGTGAAGACAGTACTTGCTTTCTTTATCTGACTTACCTCACTTAGCATAATGCCCTCAAGGTCCATTCATGTTGATGCAAATGGCAAGATCGTCTCCTTTCTTGGGGCTGAATAATAATATTCCGTGGTTTATATATGCCACTTCTTCATTGTCCACTCATCCGCTGATAGCATTGGCTAGTTTCCATGTCTTGACTACTGTGACTAAGGCTGTAATCAACTTGGGAGTGCAGATAGCTCTTTGAAATCCTGTTCTTTGGGTATACCCAGTAGTGGAATTGCTAGGTAGTAAATAGTGGATGGTATGGGAGACCTATTTTTAATTTTTTGAGGAACCTCCATATTGTTTTGCATCGTGGTGGCACCATTTTACATTCCCACCAACAGAGTACCAGGGCACGTCCTCACCAGGATACCATGCGTTTTCTAAGGGCTGGCCACCAGGCTGGGGGCTACGTATATCCTGGAGGGAGCCCCCGCAACAGCTGCCGGCATGTGTGGGGTAAATACTGCTCCCCTCTACTTGGGATAGCCTCCTGCTGGGGCACAGCGTACACAGCAAGACAGCCGTTCATTGGCTCTCCCGCCCTCCTCCTTGCACATTCATCCTTCCCTCCAAAGCAGAAAGAACTTCAACAGGAAGGGCAGTCTCACATCCCCCGGGGTTGGGGGCACCTCTCTCTTCATCCAGCTCAAGGCAGAGTCACAAGGACTTCTGTTCTGTCCTTCCTGCTCCCTCCCTCCCTCCAAATCCTGCCTCCTCTATCCTAACATGGCAGGCTGAGTAAGACCTGAGTAAAGGGAACTTCTCAGGATTGCTGGACACCAGACCCAGGGCTTTCCTTTCCTGTCTGGTGCTACTTGTGTTCAGGCAACATCCTGTCACCAGGGCCAGCCAGTGCTCCACAGGTCAGAGGTCAGCTTTGGTCCATCAGCCAGTCAGCCGTGGAGCGTGGGCTGGAGAGCTCATGTTACCAGAGAAACAGACTCCTGCCAGGGAAAACTGGAAGACAGAGGGATGAACAGACGTCGTGGAGATGACCTTTCCCCCCTACTGTCCCATCTTTGAAGGGGGGCTGTACGGGATCACACCTTTTGAGGGAACTAGGAGCTGGTGGTAAATTGTGGTGCTTCCAGAATGAGCCGCAGTGTCTGCAGTGGAAAAGCTGCAGCCAGCCTGGCTCTCAGAAGGATGCTGAACTGAAAGTCACAGGGGCAGATAATGCTGATGGTATCTTTTTCCTTACCACCTGCAGCATTAGCGAAGGAATCCACAGGCTGTGCTGCAACTCTCAGACTTTCTCTTTGAACCGCCTGACACATCTTTTCTTTCTTGAACTCATTCGGCACCACTTCCTGAGCTCCTTCTGGGGAAGGTAGACTGTTTTGTTCTCGTGGTGGTTTTTTTTTTTTTTCCCCTTTTTTTAAAATTAAAGTATCATACACGCAGAAATACGCAGCCGACTGGGTTATCACAAGGCAGCTCACCCACGTCACTACATCCCAGGGTAAGACACGGGACACTGCCTGCCCCTTTGAAGTCTGCCTCACCCTCCCCACCAGCCACCCCTTTCCTCCTCAGGGTTGCAGCTGCCTGGACCTGTAACACTGTAACTTGATCTTGCCTGTCTTTGAACTTCATTTAAACCAATTCATACAATACATGCTCTTTTGGGTCTGGCTTCTTCCCCTTAACATTATTTGTGAGGTTCATCTAGGTGGTTATGATTCTGACCTTCTGGGCCTCTGGGTCAAATAAGAGTATCCTACGTAACGGAGATCCTACGTGCTGTGGCTTGTGGCTGGGGAGACTGTCCCTGCAGTTCACCTTCTTCACTGTGGCAATGTTTTTGTAGTCAGCTCGGAGGTCTTTCCTCAAGAGTGTTTCTCCAGAAAGTGGTAGGGCTCCGCTCTCTTTTGTGCCCCTCGCTGACAGGACTTGGCTCAGCATGACTTCTGACTGTTGGCAAAAGGTAAATCATGCCCCAAAAGGTAAGAGATGACCACCTCTGCGATTACTCACCAAGTTAGGCCACTGTCTTGTCTTCGTGAATAAGATGGGCACAGATGCCTGCTCAAAGGGAGCACTGCAAATCAGCGTACAGCTAGGCAAGGCTGGGGCAGCACTTTAAAAGGCCGTGAACTCTCTCGAATGTCAAGTTCAGGAACCACTGATACCATTTTATAGCTCCATGTTTAAAGATCTGTCTTGTTAATTGTATTTCATAGGAGGTGGGCTGAAACATCCCAGCCTTGCAGAGATGGATGCTAATTTATCCAAAATGCTGTTGTGTCGCACAGAAAACATTAAAACAAGAGTCACAAAGATCTAATCCCTTTCTAGAAGTGTGCCCACAATTCTGTCACCTAACATAAATTATTCTTTTAAAAATTCTTTCTCGGGGTTCCTGGGTGGCTCAGTCCATGAAGCGTCTGACTCCCAATCTCAGCTCAGGTCTTGAACTCAGGGTCATGAGTTCAAGCCCTGTGTTGGGCTCCATGCTGGGCATGGAGCCTACTTAAAAAAACAAAATCTTTTCAATCATTATTCATGTTCATCTGGAGTGATTACATAGTTGTAGTTAAAGCGTAGATGTCATTCTTCTAGCCTTAAAATTAATGATTGTAATTGTTTGTTGCTGCAGAGTCCAGGAATATTACATTTAGGGGTTGTGTAGTGTCTCACTAAGGTGGTGGGCGATCCATGAGCTGCATAACCAGTCCCTTATTTTTGGACAGTCTGTTATTTTCTGCTTTCTCCTCATTAAAACTAACTCGCAAGGAGCCCTTTCTTGCATATGAATTTCTCCTTCCTTTGAATTAATTCCTTAGGACACATTTCCGGGAGCGGGATGGCTATTTTGCCTCGGTGGTTTTAATCATGGGTTACATGGCCAACTTGCTGCTTTCAAAAAATTGAGCCAGAAATATGGAAGCGTTCCAGCTTCGCTCTTTCACGTTTGGTGCCTCCTATTATTAGAAATGGTCAGTTTCTTGGTTTAATGTGTGTCAGATCTTAACATGTTGCTGTCGTTCTCAGTTATTTGATAACTGACAATTGAACAGGTAAATTCGAGGGTTAAATGGATGGACTGAGTTAATCTGCCTAAAGCATTTATAACATTGGCTCGTTCATAGTGCTGTATGTAAGTGTTTGCTATCAGTGGACTTCTTTTGATGAATGAAATTAATTAATCCTCTCTTGATGAATTGTTTAAGTCCTGTTTTTATCTGTTTGCTTTCTGGGGTCTTGGTGTCTTCTGCTCATGTGTTCACTGATTGATTCAACAGCTGTTTTTTGGGACTCTTTCGGTTGCACTTGACAAGAGGCTCATTGGGGTTGCTGGAGCAGAAAAGGGGCCTTTCTTATAATGGTACCATGGGAGCTTCCAGAGACTCGAGGGCTTTGTGTGTGTGTTTGGTTACTTCTTCCTCTTCATGTGGCTTGGTCTTCCTCATCCTCCCATCGTAGTCACTTGACTGTCACTTCCTCACAGAGGCCTGTTTTCGTTCCGTTTCCTCTTGTGGCGGCTGTTGTGGGGAGAGAGGGAATGTGGCTGGGCAGTCACCTTGTTGGGGCTCTCCTGTAACTCGCCGCTTGCCCTGCAGCCAGTATGCGCCCCCTGTTAGACACAGGGACACGGAATGAGAGGTGTACCATCCCTGTCCCCAAAGTACCCACAACCC